AGATAGATAGATAGATAGATAGATAGATAGATAGATAGATAGATAGACACATATCTCGTTCGTTTCTGGGCTTAGAGTGTTAGGCGAACCTCACCAATAAGATTTAGAAATCACCTATTTCCCACCCTCCGAACATGCATACAGTACATATTTAAACGGCGGCGTCCCTTTTCCCTCCCTTTTAGAACGAGAAAGGTCCCTTTCCAAAAAAGAGCGCGAAGGTTTATCCGGCTGCGGAACCAATGTTCGGGTGCTTGCGTTCCGGACGGACTGATAGGTGGGGACGACCTTGTCGGAACTTTGTGGCGGAAGCACTTCGTGCTGCTACGGACAGATTGAGCGTCTGGGATAATGTGGCGGAGAAGCGCCAGGGTCCCCGGGAGGCTCCGTGCAGTGGTTCGCTTCGGGGCTCCGAGAGAGGACGTGGGGGTGGCCTTGCACAGGTACTTGGGAGAGAAGAAGCGGGCTTTCCCCCCGTAAGAGTGTCGGTGTTCGATGCCCCATTTCAAAGGCTATTAAATATTCTTTTTAAAAAATTTGTCAATTGCTTACAAGATAATAGTTATAAGCATAAGCATAGTTATGAATACATGAAATAGATACATATAAGAAGAATAAAAGAAACAATAGGACAGGGACGGTAGGCATGTTGGTGCGCTTATGCACGGGCCCCTACAGACCTCTTAGGAAAGGGGTGAGGTCAATTAGTAGACAGTCTAAGGTTAAAGTTTTTGGGGAAGAAACCTGAGTCAGGTAGAGTATTCCAGACATTGACCACTCTGTTGCTGAAGTCATATTTCCTGCAATCAAGTTTGCAAGGGGGAAGTTGCCTCTTCGTATCATTCTTTTTCCAAATGTACTTTGACGAGTCATGCGCAAGTGGTAGGTTGGGAGAGAGATAAAACGCCTTTTTTATATTAATTTCAGCTCGCTCAGGAACTTTTGGGTTGAGTTCAGGAAAGATTATGAGGTTTGGTTGTAGTTGCTACAAATTCGACTAATTCTATAATCAGATTAGTGTTAATGTACTGGGTGAATACGGGCACTGATTCAGCAACAGTTGTTTTACACATGATTACAATAACAGAACAGAGTTGGAAGGGACCTTGGAGATCCTCTAGTCCAACCCCCTGCTCAGGCAGGAAAACCTATACCATTTCAGACAATCTCTTCTTAAAAACTTCCAGAGTTGGAGCATTCACAACTTCTGAAAGCAAGTCATTCCACTGATTGATTATTCTAACTGTCAGGAAATGTCTCCTTAGTTCTAAGTTGCTTCTCTCCTTGATTAGTTTCCACCCATTGCTTCTTGTCCTTCCCTCAGGTCCTTTGGAGAACAGCTTGACTCTTCTTTGTGGCAACCCCCTTAAACAAAACACTGCAGTGTGCTTCAACATATCCAACCCAATTCTCTTTCTTCAGAATTCATATTGTGGGAATTTGGGAATGCCTTCTTGTCTCTGTCAAACATATCCCTAATTCCACCTCCAGTGTCATCTCTGGGATTTTCTCATCTGATAGCCCCCATTCTATAAACTCTAACCCTTACAAGATTGTTTCTAATCAATTTTATATGCAAAATAGCATCTGTTTTATTTTTTGTTCAAAATCAGTGTAAGATATGATTCTTCTCCAGAAAAATATTTACTAAGGCATTGAAAGCCTAGTTATGTGCCCTAGCCTGAAATCCCAAGTATGTGAAGGAGCCTATTTTCTGATTATTTTAACATCTATAGATTATCACATTTTCTTGACTGCTGTATGTATTTCATTTTTTTGGTGGTATTATGAGCATAGTTTGGATTTTAACTAATTTTATGATTGCCATCCAGCATCACTTGTTTGAGATGGGCAGCCATACAAATTGAATAAATAATAGAAAAACACCAAAAGAAAGGCATGATTATTAAACGATGCTAACCATGTTTATATTGCATATATTTTTCCCGGAATTGCATTTTTTAAATGTAAACATTAAGGGTACATTTGGTGGAGTTTACTATACATGCAGCTTTGTGAAATAAGGCACATTTTGTATGTTTTAACATTGGGGTACTTTGACATTAAAAAAAAAAAACCCTGCAATTAACTGGCCATAAAACATTAAATGTTTAGATGTATTATATATCTGAGCCTTGTTGCACATAGTTCCATGATCTCATAATAATCTCTTACAATATTTTAAGTTGTAAAAATCTTAAAAATCAGTTTGTATAATTAATCTGTGCTTTCTACATCTTTCCTAGAAAAGCACACAAGTTCTTTAGCACCACCCCTGCCCTCTGCACTAACGAAGATGAGCAGGTCAACTGCACCAATACAAGTGTTTCACCAGATCAGGAGCAGAAAACAGAAGTACAAGCAAAGAAAAATTTGCTACAATTAATCCATGGAATGAAAATAGAACTAAGTACAAAGAAGAAGATTATGGAGAATGCCAAAAGCAAATTGTTGGAAGAAGATGAACAAAGGTAAAGCTATAAGCATATTCTGTTTCATATTGTTTGTCTACAAATACTGTGGTTTTTTAAAGAGATACATACCAAAAAGGGGCAGGGAATATGATAAATAAATAAATGGTGTATTTAAAAGAAAAACAATAAAGAGCCAAAAGGACACTTGGTATGTATTCTGTCTGATTCAGAAATGACCAGCTTTATTCATTGTGTTGTGAAAATAAGGAAAAATTCTTCAGACACTTTATTCTGATTTTGTGTGGAGTCATTCTCAATGAAGGATTCAAAACCTGTGGGCTCTGGATATGTCCCAATAGTTTTCTCCTTAAATTGTTCTGTCAAATTGTGGTGGCAAGGAACAAAGAAAAAAACCCAACCAGTTGGCAGGAACAAACAATCCTATTTATTTTATGTTTATTTATTTGTATCCCATCTTTACTGTTTTTATAAATGACTCAAGGCAGTAAATATAAGTGGCACTCCTTCCTCCTTTTTCCCCAAAACAACAATCCCGTGAGGTGAGTTAGGCTGGCCGAGAGTGACTGGTCCAAGGTCACCCAGCTGGTTCTCATGCTACAGAGAGACTAGAACCCACAGTCTTCTGGTGTCTAGCCTGGTGCCTTCACCTCTAGACCAAACTGGCTCTTTACCAGGATACCTGTTGCTGTTTCTGGGGTTTATTACCGCAGTTCTGCAGTGCCACAGCTAAAGCCTTATGTGGGTTCCTCAACAATCCCAGGTTTCTTTTCCTTGCATTAATGTTTCTCACATCATTTTTTGTTTTTTGCTTTCATTCTAAGCACCAGCTGGTCTTCCTTCCTGCTTGCTTTTTCAGTTTTCCTGGCTTCTGCCTTTTCATTGTGAATCATGGATCATCCACTAGAGCGGTGGTTGCCAACCAGTGGGCCGTGAGAAAATTTTGGTGGGCCTCAGAGAAATCTCACCCCCAGAGCTCCCCCCACCAAAGCAATCAATCCAGGCTGTGCAGAAACACAAGGCTGCTCAGCCCACATGGCCCGCGGGAATCCTCCCTGCCCACTCACTCCTTACCAGGCAAACTTGCCTGCTAAATTGCTATTTTTCCTTTTTCTGACCATCATCTGTTCTGTTGTGCCAGGAAATTTAGATTAGCTAGGAAGCAGGAAATGGTTGGATTTCTTGCTTTCTAGCTAGTCTTTAGATCTTCGGCTCTGCTTTTAAGCACAGCTGAACCTCCCTTAGGATTGAAGTTTCTATTATTCAGTGCAGACTCACGGCAAGCAAATTTGCCTGATTTTGGGTAAAAGTTGCTCTTTTTTATAAAAAATTCAATATTTATATATATTTATACTATTTACACACAAGCCATGCCCAGCCAGTCACATGACCATCAAGCTATACCCACAAATTAGGCCATGCCCACAGAACCGGTTAGTGGTCCCTGGGATTTAAAATTATGAGTTTGGTGGTCCCTGAGGTCCAAAAGGTTGGCAACCCCTGCGCTAGAGAACTTTATTAGCTAACTGCAGAAAGAGTTCTTCCTGGTGCACATGAGATGAACTAGGATATTAAAATATTATAGGGTAGAAGAAAATAGATTAAAACTCCTTCAGTTTTCTGGATAACATCTGAAGTCCTCCAGATGCTGTTGCTTTACAATTGATGAGAGCTAGAATCTAGCAATATACGGAGTACAGTAGCTTGAGTACTTCAGGTTACATAGGATATGCAAAGATGTATGTAAACATTATTGATAGATCTTTTTGTACAAAGGTGTAGGTTTTTTTTCTTAGAAGATAACTGGAATGCTTGTCATATCCTGTTAGTGCTCCTGTTAGTACTTTGCAGTTTTAGAAATACATTATCTGGAGCCTGCCTGATGTTGATCAATCATAAGAGGACTGGGTTAAGTATTTTTTTAAAAATCATATATTTGAGTTTGATTCATTTTTCAGAACAAACTTTCCTGAGAACAAAGATTTGGTCTTATTAATAGTTATTCAAATTTCCCAAGGCAAAAAAAGGAACTGGAAAATTTCTTATGCAAATTAAGGGAATTTGAATAGGAAAATGGTCAGTTTGAAATAGAAAATTTTCTGATAAAAAGAGTGAATAATTTAAAATATTTGCGAGGGGTTATTACCTAAAAAAACAGTAATTGAAATGTTAAAGTTGTCTAATACTGTATTATACAATTGGTATAATGTAATCATTAGTAACCTGGATTATTACATTTATGAAACTATTTTTCAATGGAAAAATTAAGGCCTGGAAAATGTTTCCTCTCCATAACTAATAAAGAATCAAGTGGACATATGTCCTGCTTTACCGAGAACAGTTCCCTATTTGAAGGGATGTCACGAGCTAACTTGGAAAGAATAAGGGAGAGAAAGGTCCTTGAAGCTGTCTGTCAATTGCACATTGCTAGTACTGTGTGACCATTTGAAAAAAAAAAAAATTGGATGATGCTTTCTTCTACTGTATTCATTGTTAATTTTCTGCCTGTTCTCAGAAGGTTAGCAAAATATGGACAACAAAGAATGTAAAATGAGCATTTATATTTTGGATTTCCTTTTTCAGCAACCAACATGTTCCAGAATTGGAGGCAGCAGCCTCTGCTGTGGCATCTTCACTCCCTTTCGATAAACAAAAGACAACTTCCGAACTTTTGCATTTGGTAAAAAAGCACAAGGAAGAAATGAATGCTCACAAATTGGCTGACCTAAGGTTTGTAGCTATAATTCTATTCCCGTAATATGTCTGTCACATTGAAAAGAGACAAATAGTAATCATTTGCTTTTAAAGTGGAACCTCAGCTCGCAACCGTAATCCGTTCCAGGACTATGGTCGCAACCTGATTTGGTCATGACCGGAAGCACGACCGTCTGAGCAAGGGCCAAAAAAGGCAAAATCGCTGGGACAGGGAAAATCGCTGCAGCTGTGTCTGGTCGCCACCCGAAGATGTGTTCACGACCAGAAACAAAACTTTGCTAAAAATTCTGGCCATCACCCGATTTGGTCACAAACAGAAGTGTTCGCAACCCGAGGTTCCACTGTATCTGCCTTCTTTTAAAAATGCAAATTTGGATTTGGAGTCAGAAGCTTTAAAGCAGTCTTAGCCAATCTTTTCATTTCTGTATTTCTTAATTTTTCATTTTTCTGCTTCTGTCTGCTTTGGTAAGTTCCACAAAAGAGTGTAAAATCAAATATACAGCAACAAGCGCTTTGAAATATTTGCATTAATATATTACGGATTTTTTTCCTCAATATTGGCTAGATTAAATGGTTTTGATGTTACCAAGCTTAACTGAGAGATTAATTAGTGAAGTTTATAAAATGCATTCATACTAAACCTGCTAAATCCATCAAAGTGCCAGCTTAGAAGAAGAACCAGCTTCTTCTAGAACCAGCTAGCTTCTTCCAGAACAACTTATGCAAAACCAAATTACCATAAACCTGAAGCTGGAGGATATTTGGCCTGTCCAGCATTTCAGATTCAGTCTTCAAAAGGTGCTTTGGAGCTCATGAAGAACAAATATAGCAAATCTGTACAGCTGCTGTCAGGCTTCCTGGGATCACATAGTTGCCTTCTACATTTGTTCCTGATCCTCAGACTTAACAAATTTTGCACATCCTTTCCAGACATTTAGTTCTTCAATTTAATGTCTATCTATTAATAGTAACATGTATTATGTTTCATTTAAATAATCCCTTGTTGAATTAAACAGTAGTTAGGTTAATATATATTCTGATTTAAATACCTAGCGCATAAAACAAAATTCTTCGCACACAGATCTTTCAGAAAATTATTTTTCTCAAGAAGAAATGAATAAATGTATCCCTGTATAACTGAATATAGTCTTGCATTTCTTTGGTTTTCTGCCAGTAAATTACAGCTAAGCCTTTCTGTTTTTGCAGTGATATAAGATAATCTGTGGGTATCTCTGCTTTATAAAATCTTCACCATCATTTTCTTTTGTAAACATAGGAAACACTAAATATTTGCTGAATTGAAATTATAACAGTACAGAATTTGGCGGTGGAACAAGTATTCTCTCATTGGAAATTATGGCGTAATATCACAAAATACATTAAAGGTTTAAACTTTATTATAAATAATAAAATTTAGCGCCAAGATACACCTTCAGTATCCCAGATCTTTAAGGTTGATATTTAAAGGATGGCATGGCACTCAGACACTAATTTTGTATATGTTCATAACATTTTTTTATCCCACTGTACCCTGACATAATAATTAATAGAAAAAGCCTAATACAGATCTTGTTTAATTCCAGCTCAGATGTCTCATAAAAACATAGCAACAATAGTAACATGTTGCTTAGAAGGCCAAAGAATGCATTCTAGACTGCTTGCTCTTTCTATTAAGAGTGATTTTGAAGAAAAAATTCAGGGCTGGCCACTGTATGGATGAAATAAACTGGTGTTTTTACCAAATCAGTAATAACTGGCTACTTCATTATACTGCCTGTCGGTAATGAAAATATTCAGTCTTGCATACTAACGGTTTCTGCAATTAAAACTTAGTGCCTTAAGTTTGCCAATTTTCTTTTAATTTCATCTTCTCCATGCTATTGTCCTGCAGATTTCTAGGCTGAGCTAGAAGGCTGCAGTCAATGCAGACAAGCATGCCTCCTTTAAAACAACTCAAAAAAATAAAGCAGCTTTCTTCAATGTGGTGCTCTCCAGATGTCTAGGGCTATAGTCTCAGCATTCCTAGACCAGTTGGCTAAAAATTATGGAAGCTCATAGACACAATGTTTCTGAAATATACAAATTAGGAAGGCTAACGGTTGAATAGCTAAAGGTTAAATAGCTTGACATGTGATTTTTTTGAGGGGATCCTTGTGCTGATAAGACCTTTTAATACCTACAGGAAGAGGCAATATATATTGAGTTTTATGGAATAAGATGTCATCAATATGTTGTTAATACGCAATAATGCTATTAACATTTCAGGGCAGGTATTTGAGAATATTAGACAGAGCCCCCAGGTCAGCTGACGGTGTGTATAGTCAATATGAAGATTATGGTTAAACAACATTGCTTTCTTATTTATTTAAAACCCAATATAAGGACCTCATCTGGGAATGTGGTTAAATTGCATGTCTCTTCAAGTATGCTTCCAGGTTCCTGTTCTACCATCCATAGGTTTGTATACTGGAAAACTGATACTTATGCTTCCTTTGGAAACACTCTGGGAGTTTTGCTAACAGCACTGTTTGCCTATCCTCTAAGTTAGCGGTCAAGTGCATATTCATTACTTCCTTAAATGGAACTTCTCTGCTCTTCAGCAGCCAAATCTAGTTAAGGTGCTTGTACTGACTTACAGAATTCTTTGTGGTCTTCACTCATTTTTCAGTCTACTACTTACAAATGATGCAAGGTTAAACAGAGCCTTTTCTGTTACCACCCTAATGCTTGGGAAGACGTTACCACTGACCATTGTCAATATATGCCAACTGAATTCTAAGAAAATAGGGAAGATAGCCTTGTTCCGGCTGATCTTCCGGAGAAGGCTAGACCAAATTGTATTATTTTGTAAATTGTGTAAAGGTGATGGGTACGGAGTTTATTTGTTTATTTAAAAGCATTCTTAGCACTGTTCTTTAGTTGATTAGGTTCCCATTACCATAATTCAAACACAGAAAATACAGTCATTGCTGCTAGGTTTCTGGTCTGAAACATTAGATTAAAAAAAATAGGGGAAGATGGAAGGAAACAAAAAAAAAACAGATTTCAGAACATCCACAAAATTGAATTTTTCTTTACATTTTCATATATTTATATTTCTTTTCTTTATTGCACCAGAATAGCAAACATGAACAAAAACTCTGTACTGTATATCCTTCAGTACATGCTAATCTTTACATGCTAATGTTTTTAATTTTAGCAAAATTATGGCAAGCATGAAAATTAGAAGAAAACCTATTAAACAAAAAGCCCTTCGAGCATCCAGTCAAATTGAATGTGATGAAGATGAAGATGGCAATATGGCACATATTAATGAAATCAGTAGAATTAAAAGGTACTTTACTTGATGACTTTCTGCATGCATCTCTTTAAAATCCTGAATTTATACATCATTACAGGTAATCCTTGATTTACAACTATTCATTTAGTGACCATTTGAAGTTACAATAACACCCAAAAAAGTGACATACGACTGTTTTTCACACATACGACTGTTACAGCATCCATATAGGTCACATGCTCAAAATTCAGGTGCTTGGCAATAATTGCCATGCGTTGATGATATTGCTCTGTCCAGGGTCATGTGATTACCACTTGTAACCTTCCCATCTGGTTTCCTGATAAGCAAAGTCAATGGGGGAAGCCAGATTCACTTAATGACTGCAGTGATTCACTAAAAACTATGACAAAAAGTCACAAAACAAGGCACAACTTGCTTAACCATTGCCTGGCTTAGCCACAGAAATTTTGTGTTCAATTGTGGTTGTGAGTCAAGGACTACCTGTGCAAGGATGGCCAAATGTTGCTGTGTTGAAGCATGCCACATTCTTTCTCCTTATGACACACACACACACACACACACACACACACACACCGCTTTATTGTGATGTGGTACCGAAGATTAGACTTGTCACATTTTTAATATGACATAAAAATCAGGCTTAATGAAATAGATTAAGTCTGGCAGGTATGTCAAATCTAACTGTAGGCTACTTCTGCTGACTGCCGGCTGCCTGCAATTCGGCAGTTTGATTCTTACCAAGCTCCAGGTTGATTCAGCCTTCCAGTCCATTTCCCTGTTAAATTAAGTATATTGCTCTTTGATATGTTCATTCTTAGTTCCACGCTCCTTTTTGGACCATGTAGTCTGTCTTACCTTTGCTGGAAATCATTCACACAACGTTGTCTTCGTATTGAAAAATTCATACGTTCACATCCCAACTAACACGTAACCATGAGCATTCCTTATCAGGTCATTTCTCTGAAACAATGCCATCTGTTGGAATCTAGGAGGCATAGTATTTGGCTGCAATAACTGCCTTGTGGAACGGGTCTCTCCTTATGATTCAATTGTCCACCTAGCCTGGTTGGCCTTCAAGAAGTCTTTTAAGACCTCAATATTTCCTCAAGATATTATGGGAGTCTGATCATATGTGGTTATGCCCCAATTATGTGATTTGCTTTTGTTGTTGTGCTGTTTTTTTTTTTTCTCGTGTCTATGGGAAACATTCTATGATTATACGCTACCTAGAGTTACATTTTGACAAGTTGCGTGGCCAAATAAATCTATAAATTAATTTAATTTAGGTGTATGTGTGTGTCGTTTATGAATATTTTCTTCTTTGTTACATGCTTGAAAAATATGTGGGCAATGATTGTTTAAAAACAAATCAAAGGAGTATGTTTAAGATTTCAAACTATTTATGACAGAGTTTAGAATTATTCATATTGGATCCTTTAAATGTAATAGCAAAAGCAGAATTTTTAATGTATATATATATTTTAGGAATCTCTATTCTGGAGAAAGGCTACAGATTTTCACTCCTAAATCAGAGGGCGCACACGAAACAGGTTAGTCACAAAATAGTTACTATAATCATACCAGGAAGATAATTTGAGTGTATAAAACACGTCTGTTCTATGCTCAATGCATTAGTCTTGAACATGCTACAAATCATGTTATAGAAACTTCCTATGTGTATTTGGAGAAGAGGCTAATTGCTCAATAGCAAGGGACAATTTGGAACCAGATACTCAAGACAGTGTAAATCAATAAAAACTTAGAGAATTTTACCTGCTGTTTACATAGAAGTGTTGAAAATTATGTTAAATGCAGACATTTGGCTCTCAATCAGAGGAGAGGTTTCACTGTAGTAATTGAATGCAGGTTTCACATACAAAACATTTGTTTTTAATTCCTGGCATTTCTAGATAATATTTTTTTTAAAAAAATCCCATTTGAATGCCGAAACCAGTTTTGTCTAGTTTGATGCCTTCTAGATCCATTGGACTGACAATTCTATAATTCCCAGAATTCATGCCTTGCAGTGTCTAAAAGATATAGGCTAATGCATTAAAGCAGCGGCGTTAAACTCGATTTTATTGAGGCCGCATCAGGGTTGTGTTAGATCTTGGGGGGGGGGACATCATGACTTCACTCGTGTCGGGGGATGCCTGTGGTGGCCCACGTGCTTTGCCAGCAAAAACGGGCTGTGGAGCTCTGTTTTTTGCTGTGATGGCCTCCTGCAACCCTCTGCCAGCAAAAACAGAGCTCGGGGGGCATGTGCGGCCTTCGCAAACTCTGTTTTCGGCTGGAACAGTTCTGTTTTTGCTGGCAGAGGTACCGCGGGCCAGTCTTTCTCTGTTTCCAGGGTAGCCCCGCAGTCCAGATCTCAGCACGCAGTGGGCCAGATCCGGACCCTGGGCCTTGAGGTTGACACCCTTGCATTAAAGGATCCCAGGTTGGAGAAGCTGCTTTCAGTGGTTGTACGCAGCCAAATAGTTCAATAATCTGACTTAATCTAAAGCAGCATCCTAGGTTCCCACTAATGAGGAACTTGAGGCAGATACAGAGAGTCCTCAACTTACAGCAGTCCATTTAGTGACTGTTCAAAGTTACAACATCACCGAAAAAAGTGACTTATGATCATTTTTCATACTTACGACCATCACAGCATCCCCCATCAAAATTCAAATACTTGGCAACTAAGTCATATTTGTGATGGTTGCAGTTTTCTAGGATCTTTTGCAACCTTCTCCCTAGCAAAGCCAATGAGAAACTGGATTCACTTAACAACCATGCTTCCCATTTACCGGCAGCAGTGAATCGCTTGACAACTGTGGCAAGAAAAGTCATAAAATGGGGCAGAACTCACTTAACAAATGTTTCACTTAGCAACAGACATTTGGGGCTCAGTTGTGGCCATAAGTTGAGGACTACCTGCATTGCCTTTTAGGTTTGAATGGGATTTGGAAAGAATATTCTTATAGGCATTTTATAGACAATCATTCATTCAATGACAGTTCAACATTTGCGAACAGTGCTGAAAGAATGGACTCGCAACCCATGTCTGAAATTATGGCCATTGCAGCACACACACCCCCGGTGATCATGTGATCAAAATTCAAGTGCTTTGGTAGCCCACTCATATTTACAGCCACAGGGACACTGCAATCCCCCCCCCCCGCCCCCCCAAAAACCCACCACCCATCTCTTCCCCTTTGGCCACCCTGAGCTCTGTCTTCCGTGGCAGCAAACTTCAGCAAGCAACAGCCTTCATTTGCACACCAGCCTTCATTCCTTCTCTACAAGTGCCAGCATTTGTTTGCACGCCACATGTGCTGAGCCTTGCCTTTCCACGAGCAGAATGTGGGGTAGCCAGAAAGGCACAAAACTGGGGAGGGAGATAGGGGAGTGGGGAAAGTTGACCCTAACCCCTAACAACCACAACAGGAAAAGAAGAGATATTGATTGGTAAGCAATGCAATCGTGTGGCGTCTGGCTTTACAACCGCATTGTTTAGCGACCAAAATTTCTGACTCGGTTGTGGTTGTAAGTCAAGGATCACCTGTAACTACATTTGTTTTAAGGAACACATTCCTTTATAGGGAAGCTAGAGAAAATTCCTCCCGTTTTTTTAAATATTTCATTTCCGACTGAAACACAGGGAAATCAAATTATAATTTCTCTCACTTTTTCTGCTAGTTCAAATAATGTCAAGGAGTACTTATCCGCATAGTACTCTTCATGCTATGTAACATTTTTGAACATAGTTTCAAATAATAATAATTTTTTAAATTGGAATATGTATTTAGTCAGTTTGAAGCTAATAAAGCAGAGAAGTTCATAAAGAAAATTGAGAACAGAAATTGATATGAAAACAGTTGTCCTTTTATTGAGCTGTGCTATGCTGTTATAGCAGGTCAAATTTTTTAACTTTCAATTTCCAAATAATTAGCGGTGCTCAAAAGTTGTGACATACCTTGGGGATTGTAAAGATATTTTGGTTACTTTAATTTAGATTTTATTAATTTAGATTTTAACATTTTATGTGTTTCATGCTGTCCATTCATAATGTTGATACTAAATTAGCTTTTATTGCAGCGCCAATAGTAAAAAGCAGCCAATATTTTGGAATTTTGAACTTGGCGTTCTTTTGACAACGCTAACAATCTTGAGAATTCTCACACACGCACACACACAATGTCAATTCCATTGAATAGCATTTCTATGGATAACTTGGATTACTAAACTGTTACTTGTTTTGATGGGTTTTTTTTAATGCATTTGACGATTTAGACACAGTAGCAATACCAACAATTTGGGATCTGGAATTTGCCAAAACCATTGCATCCAACGTTTCACCACAGAATGGTTTTGAGGAGATGATACAGTGGACAAAGGAGGGAAAACTTTGGGAGTTCCCAATTAACAATGAAGTTGGTGAGTATCCTAAAAGGGCTTTGAGCTTGGTTCAGAAGCTCAGTGAAAATTGGGGATAGAGGTTTTGGGGAGTTGGATTTGCAGGGAGCTGAAACAAATGTTTATATTATCATATATAGTATAGTATAGTATAGTATAGTATAGTATAGCATAGCATAGCATAGCATAGCATAGCATAGCATAGCATAGCAT